ACTGGTATACTGTATACACTGGTATACAAGTATCTTCATGGGAAAAGAGGAGGTTCAGCAAGAGATAGTGGAGAGGGGAGAGAACCTGCAGGATGTGGCGTGGGTGTGCGAGGCTGAGTGAACCTTAGGAGTAGCTGCTGGAGAGCAGGAAGAGGGGTGGAGGGAGGGTTTGGAGTTTCACATAGAAATAGATGAATGATAGAGAACCAAGGGGCACATGGGAATGCGAGTAATAGTAAGGGTAGGAAAATAATAAAACAACGGAATTCAAGGACTTTTATAACCAAATTCTCCTTATGCACTTTATCATGTGGCTAATGAGATGGGAAGTGTAGCACAATTTAGTTGAATAGCTTCATTCGTTCATTCAGCCAATTGTGATTGAGTGTGCACTGGGTGCTATGAGTTATGTTAGGCAATGGGGGTGAATGTATGACTGAGGAGAGGGCTGAGCTATCGTGTTATGTAGCAAAACAGCAAAGCATACAAACACTATAGTAAGACAAAAGCAGTAATAGAAATCCGTATGATTATTGGTGATGAATTCCATCTCCCTGTCTCAGTGTCACTATATGAGATAGAGAAGGGATGGGAAGTAGTTCAGTCACCTGTCTGACTTTAATCTAAACTGATCTAGAAATCCATGCAGAACTGTCACTGACCTTCTGGTCATAATGGTGAGACCTCACACCTGCTAGGAAGGTGCACGTCTGCTAGAAGGTGGAGTCTGAGCTGAATGCACTTGACCATGCTCATAAGTGAGTAACTTGCTATTTGCCAAAGTCTTGTTGGTTTTGGAGTTTTCCTTGTATATGCAGTACTTTCTCCAAAAAGTTCCCTCAAAAACATTTTAAGCCACAATAACAGGGTACATCTTGGCCCTAGAAATTGAGTGCCTGGTGCTCCTAGAGTGACCCATGGTCTCTATCAGCCTGAGCATCAAGTGAGAAACCACTGGGACGAAGAGTGGAGACGGAATCAGGGCTGCCTGCAGCCGGTCAGCCAACACGAGTGGGACTTGTTCAGAGTTTCAGTTTCCATCTGGCTTCTGCTGAATGTGTTGTTTCAAGAGAAAAACTAATGGCTACAGTGCCAATTCTAACCACTCCAAATCTTTGTCAGTTTTCAGAGGATCATTATCCACTCCCTTCTGAGCTCTTTAAATGACAATCTGTTTAACTCATTAAATGATAAATTGAATTATTGTTTCTAGGAACAGTTTCTAGGTACTTGGAGATACTAGTAAGTATCATGTGAGGTTCCATTCTTTGTCACTTAAAGAATAGCTGTCATTATATTTAGATGTGAAATCCAAAATGCAGGTAAATATAAAAAAAAAAGTTAGATTATATAATATGACCACCTTCTTCCTTGTGCCATTCAGATCATTTTGTTCCTGCCCAATTTAAAGAACTCACATCAGTCCTGCAATGAATCACCTACCTCTATCTCTCTTCGAAATACCTGCCATTTCTGAGTCTCTCTGAAGATTTCTGCCTGCTCCAAGAGGGCTGGGCTTATTATGGCACTCCTAAAGCTCCCTGACTCCTAAAGCTCCCTGAGAGCTGAGGACATACCTGCTCAGTGCCCTCTTATAGAGAAATGACTCAAGACTGAGTTTTTATGATAAAAACTAGACTCCACAGAGAGGATAAACATTTTCTAAAGACTTCTCCACAACACTGAATGCTTTTTGTTTTACTAAGAACTGTCCCAGAAATATCTCTATTGATCTTTAAAACATTTCTATGAGATAGACGTTCTAATCCCACTTATACAAGTGAGGGAACCAAGACTAATAAATATAAGAGATTTGCCTGAGAACACACAAATGGAGAAGCTGGATTCTGACCCCAAACCCTGGGGTGTGGGCGGTAGGGGTTAGCATGTAAGTGTTTTACTATATTTTTCTTGTGGTATTTGTTACTATTTACACTTAATCTTAACCAAAAGACGGAGAAGTGATACTAGTTCCTATTTAAAATTGTATTTGTTTACTTGTTGGAGTGTTCCAGCACACAGTTCTCCATCCTCTTTTATCTACACTCTCTCTCTCTGTAACCCCAGTCCCTCCCCCGGCTTTTATATGCATCTGTATCCTGTGTGTTTCCAGTTTATGCCATCAATCTTCTCGGAGTTTCTCCTTGACAACTCTACATGTCTGTCAGGAGTTCCATTCTTGATTTTCTCCCTTTTCTGCATCCAAGCCTGATTCTTTGCTGGCCCTTACACGTCATTATCAATGGTCCTACCATGTCCCTCCTTGCTCAGGCCGTTTACCCTCTCCCCCAGTACCCAATCCTTCAGCGTTTTCTATTGTGTTTACCTACATAACTTACCAAGAATTGGACCACTTCTTACCACCTCTTCTTACCACTACTCCAGTTCAAGCCTCTGTGATTCCTTACTTGGACAACTGTGTACGGCTTCGAATTAGCCTCCCTGCTTCTACTTTTGCCCTTCCATGATCTGTTCTCCATATAGCAGCCGGAGGAATCTTTATAAAATGTTACATTACATCAAGTCATTCTCCTACTCAGAACCTTCCACATGCTTCCCAGTACGCTTAGTACAGTAACCCGGCTCCTTGTCTGCCTGTCTGACCTCACGTCCTGTAATGTTCCCCTTGCCTATGGTGGCCTTCTTACTATTGGTCCAACATGACAAGCTTGTTCCCACATCAGAGCCTTTGAACTTGCTGTTCCTTTTACTCAGAATGCTCTTACCCCAGATTTTCATACACCTTCCCACTTCTCATCATTCATATCTTTGCTTAAATTTTATTTACTCACAAGGGCTTTCCCTGGATAATCCAATATGTATAATTTGTGAAAAATAAAAGGAAATATTCATTAACTAGTTTGGGGGAAAGTTGAAAACCAGGAAATTGTGGTATTCCAATTACCAAGTGAATAAGGTAATTTCCAGCGTCGGCAATGAGTACCTAAGTTGAGTGCTTATCCAACTCAGAAGTCTAATAAGATGGCAGTCAATGCTTTTGGTACAATGGAGGTTGCTGATGACCTTGGCAAGAGCCACCTTAGTTAAGTGCTATAGTGGGCGTGCAGAATGGGAATTGCCCAGCTGAGAGAGAAATTAATGTGGAGGAGAGAGGAGATAATTGTAGGGGCAAAGTAAGTGAGAGCAGAAGAGGGAGTGGGTGGAGAGCTGGCCTTAGACTGGAGCGGACAGTAGCAACATGGACAGCAGAGTGGACAAGGGATTTGGTGACACAGGCACAGGCAGTTCTGGTCAGTTGCTTGTATCTGGTAGAAGTGTAGCCATCAGCTAAAATGGAAATTGGTAAGAGGAAGAGAGGGTGGATAGAGGTTTGAATGAAAAGCAGAGTCAGGGCTCATTTCTGAAAGTGGAAAAGTGGTTTTTGAGAGAAAGATTTCAGATTAGCTGGATTATAGTAATATTGGTGATCATGAATTTAAAATGAGACTAGTGGTATAGCTGTGTGCTTTCTTCAAAATGACTTTCAGAAAACAGTGGTCCCATCTTGTATTGTAAACCAAAGGAGTGAAAGAATTCTGGTGATGGAAATTAGGACCTGGGAGGGAGGGGGAACAATGGCAAGTGTTGACAGAGGTATTTTCTGGGGCCAGAATCTGGTAATGCCCTTGATGACATGCTTGGTGGGTAACTGATGCTTTCTTCTTTGCTATGGACATCCTAGCACTGGATTTATCTGTCTGGGATAACCCTGAGCCCTGGTGATTCTCTCTAGGACGAGCCCAGCAGCTTTTTATCCACTGGCCATCCATCTCTCTAGTAGTTTCCTATTAAGTACCTAAGAAACTCATTGAGAGTCAGATGAGCAAGCCACACTCTAATATAAAGGTGAACTGCCCCATCACTCACGGCCATAGCAAACAGGATGTGGGGGTACTGCTCAAAGTAATTTACACATTTTAACTCTTCTAATCATCTCAAGTATGTGTGAGGGAGGTGCTGTTCTTATCTCTATTTCATAGATAAGGAGACTGAGGCAGTGATGTTGTGTGACGTGCCCTGGTGAGACCAGAACATGCTCCCAGACAGCCTTGCCCCAGAACCTGGGGTCTCAACCACTATCCTTCTTACCACAGTTCTCCTCTATTCTTCTTCCTCTTCGACCTTGGAGGCAGGGCACATTGTCCAGTTTGTTAGAATTCAAGTAATGAGGCGTGATTTATTCTTGTGTTTTTATATAAATTATTCAACAACTGAAAACAGAATAATAGTGTATCCAATTCTACACGTTATTTCATCTGCCATTACAGAGTTCACAATGCTACATTTATGCTGCACTTACCACTTTTGTATCAAATGTTGCTAAGCTGTTTATCCTGTGCACATGTTTTGAGTGTCCTCCTGCATTTAGTTATTATTTCTTTCTTCATTTTTCTTGCTGTTGGAGCTTAGTTGTTTGTCGAGTATGTATTTTCTACTAAGTTAATGCCATTATTTTTCTGTTTTGCTGCAGGTTATCATTGCCCTTTCAGAAAAGCACCGTTCACACATTCCTTACAGGAACTCCATGATGACCAGCGTCCTACGAGACAGTTTGGGAGGGAACTGCATGACAACTATGATTGCAACACTCTCATTAGAGAAAAGGAATATTGATGTATGTTGGGTTTTGCTTTCTGGAGCTCTTAATCTAGATTTTACTGCTAGTTCATGAGTTGGAGTTGAGGTCCTGGGTGGGTTTCTATTTGCTCAGCTGGGTTGACATATGCCTTTAGAAGTCAATGCCTTACAGAGTTCACAGCTTTGGGTTAGTTGCCAGTATCATTATGACCCCAGTGGAGAACTGACTTCACATAGCCCAGGACAGTTTGAAGAAGCCTTAGACACAAATTCTGGAAGGCCTGCTGCTGTGTTAGCTACCTGACTCTGAGAAATGACAGAGACAGCCCTTCAGCCTCTTGCTCAGTTTGGTCTGATTACTAAGATCTGGATACCTGGGAGATATCTCTGACCTATGTTCCTAGAATGTCTGTGGATGTGACACCAGATTGCTTCAGCCGGGTGAGCCACTGAATGAGTTTCTGCAGAGCCAGCAGATGTTCTGTGTATTTCAGTTTAGTGTTGGGGATCCAGACATGCTCCAAAAGAGGAAAAAGTGGTAGGAAAGTTCTCAGAACAAGGCCAAGCTTTCAATGCTAAGACACCTCGAAAAGCCTTCCTTTTTGGTCTATTATGAATATTTATTTTATAGTATTTCATATTCGTGGATTATAGTACCCACTATATTTATGATTTATATATGAGGTCAGATAATTAAATTCACTAGAAAAACTGCTACATACTTCACTGCTGAATATCACTACAAATGCCTTTGAAGGGTTCCCCTCTTAGTTCACCCTTCAGAGCAATTTTGGAACTCTCTCTGGAACCACTATCAGAACTGTTTTTGTATTACCCTTGATGTCCTGAAAGTCATCAAAATATCCTTCTTTCAATATTTCCCAAATAGTCATTGGGGGCCAGATCAGGTGAGTAGGGCGGATGTTCCCATATAGTTACTATTTGTTTACTGCCTAAAAACTCCCTCACAGACATTGCTGTGTAAGTTGGTGCACTGTTGTGATGCAAGAGCCCATTTTTGCACACACCTTTGTTATGCCAAGATTTTCACTTAAGGTTTTCTTGTTTCTCTATCAATGTTACAGTCAGCCAGTGATTTTAATGAACAAGTCATAGAATGTTCGCAGTGTTTTCATCAGTTCTGCCTGTTACTGGCTGCCCTGACCTCTCTTCATCAGTGATGCTTTCTCTCCCCCCAGAGAAACATTTAATACATTTAATGCCACTGGACATTATCCCCATAAACTTGGAGTAACATGTCCCTAATTTCTACTCTTGCCACACTGAACAAGAAATTTAATGTATATTTATTGCTCTAATTCTAGCTCTAACATTGCACAATGTCACACAAAAACACAACAGTAATGAACACCACTCAGCAAGACACCGCCACACGTGGACAAGAACCCAGCTGTGAGACACTGATACACCAAGGTTATGAACCCTTATGGGGTTACTTATGGTGCTGCCAATATAAGTGCATGGTGGCAAGTGTGTGAACATAATTGTCAGACCTTGTACATAATTTTAGTTAAACAGATCAATAGTTGGAAACTTACACTATGTACCAGTTGCCACTTAAGATTAGGACCTCCAATTTTTTTGGCATTGGCTGTTTTATTAAGCCAAAGCAAAATCTTGATTAAAAAATAATGTCCAAGCTTCGTTTGGAGGCATTTGTCTTCATTCTATTTTTTTAAATACATCACTGTTTAGGTGTACATCTTTTATTTCCTGTGAATAAAAATTGTTTTATTTAGAGAGAAGTATCTATCTGCACCATTATATAATAGAACCTCTGTAAGCTGACCTCCCAAGGAACGTAACAAACTGGTCAACATATGGAGGTGGTTGATGTAAGGAATTAGCCTGCTGTACTGATACATAGATGTGGTGCATGTCCAGTCTGTGAGAATTAGGTCAACTTAAGGAGGTGCTCAGTATAGGGAGGTGGTCTACTATGGAGGTTCTACTGTATTTTCAGAAGTTATTTTTCTTTCTTAGGAGTCTATATCTACCTGCAGATTTGCACAACGAGTGGCACTAATAAAGAATGAAGCTGTTCTTAATGAAGAAATTGATCCCAGACTGGTGAGCAACTTTAACTGATTATATTAACAAAATCCAAAGTATACCAAAGGTCAGCCAACACGTGCAGAGGCACTTTCTCCGTACCAGGCAGTATTCTCAGTGCTAGAAATGTAGTAACTCATTTAATTTTCAAAAAAACTTTGTGAGTAGATGCTGTTTCTGTCACTTTACAGATGACAAAACTGAGACACAAAGATGTTAACTCTGGCTCAGAGTCACTGCAGTGACGTCAAACCCCGACAGCCTTTTAAGAGCCCGGACTCTTTTTACCTGTAGTTCCCCCATTGCTTCATGAGGCAGATGTGTAGGGTGTCTGGAGCACTCAATCTGCAGAATCGTATCAGTTATTAATATATTTATATGTGGGAGCTAGCACTTCAAAATACATCAGTTTAATTTTCTAGAGACAATAATTGGCCATCTTTTATACAAAGCTTATAAACAAAGCTTATAAATAAAGCTAATGGTTCATAAAGAAAACCGTATTTTGTATAACTGTTCTGTTACTTACTCTAGAGATTTTAAAAATCAATTATGGGGGCCAGGCACTGTGGCTCATACCTATAATCCTAGCACTCTGGGAGGCTGAGGCGGGAAGGTCCTTTGAGCTTAGGAGTTCAAAACCATCATTAACAAGAGTTAGATGCTACCTCTACAGAAACTAGAAAAATTAGCTAGGCATTGTGGTGGGCCCCTGTAACGGCAGGAAACACTAAGCCTAGGAGTTTGAAGTTGCTGTGAGTTAGGCTGATGCCATAGGCATGCTAGCCTGGACAACAGAGTGAGATTCTATCTAAAACAAAACAAAACAAAACAAAACTCAATTATGGGTTTGATCCATGGAACAATTGCCAACCCTCTAGTTTTTTAACAATTAATATAACTTAATCAAAGCACCTTTTCTAAGAAAATAAATTTACCCTTATGTGAATCAGCTAGTCATTATCAATGCAGATCTTTTCTCTTTTTTCTGTTTTGTTAGTTTTCTATAAATGAAATGCAACACTAAATCAACTCATTCCAGCACTCACAATGCTAGAATAAAATATGTTAATTTTGTAAAATTCTATAATTGAGATTGTTATTTTTCACATCACTCAGCTTTTCTTATGTCTCTAGAAAATAAGCTGTTATAGAAATTAATAATAAAAAAAGATGTGAAATCTTACCAACAGGGTTTCATTTAGAATTTCTCAAATTCAGAATCATTGTTATCCATATTAATTACTTCCTCTTGATTGTTTACCCTTTCACCCCTGGAACCTTCCCCTTGAAAGACAGCAGGAAAGGCTTTCTGTTTATCCTGCTCACCACAGGCAGCAGCGCTTCTCTCCCGGAGAGAAACCAGTGGGTGAGGCAGGCCCTTTCCAGTAAAGGTTCTGGTCAGACACCAGCATCACACAGCACTCCAACAGGAAACAGGAAATGGACTGTGAAGGACAGTAAAGTGGGATTGAACTCCCCAGATGTGGCTTTTTGCTGTCCTTGCCCCTCCATCAACCCTGTGGCATTGCTGTGAAGAGTGATGAAGATAGTAACGAAGCAATTAGCTTAAAGACAAAAATTAATCCATAATTTAAGGAAAATAAACGTATTAGACACGGAAGGATTTTTTCTTTAAATTTGGCTAGAGTGACTTTTCTTTGAAAGAACTTGAAGAATTTGGAAAAAAGTGAATGTTATCATATGTTTGATGTAAGTCTATGAGTGATTTAAAGGAAAGAGAAACCCAGAGCTGATCATCGAATGTTGAGGTCTTCCTGGTGCAGAATAACCTGGTAACTGACAAGTGTCATTTCCTGGTCTCTTTTGTAATTGCTTCTAAAAACTGACATTACTGTTCCTTATTTCATGTATGGAGCTTGTCTGAAACACAAGTGATGATTGAGAATTTATGCTACAAACCACCCAAGACAAAAACGTGGTTAGGGATTCCCTATGTCTCACTCTTAAAATTTAATGGCAAGCGTGAAGCCAGCCCTTTCTGATCAATATCACCAAGGAGAGCCTTGCTTTCTTTATAAGCATTGGTACCTTAGGGAGACAAGGTGATTAAAGACCTGTGAACAAGGCCAGAGTCTGTGGTAACTGGGCATGGGCCAAAATCTTCTAAGGATGGCTTTAATTCCAGAGTTCCTGCAAAAATTTGATGATGAGGTGTGACTATACTAATCTCAAAACCATGAAAATTTGGCTTAGTTTTGAGATTTCTATTCAATAAGATAGAAAAATAATTTGATATAAGATTTGACTCTAAAAGCCTTAGTAAGTAGAAACATGGCATTTATTTAGTACAAGAGGGTAACAATGAATTACTCACAAAGTTCTTGTCTCAGGATTTTTATTCTTTGTAGCTTGATAATACTGAAAATGTTTTTGGAAAGAAGCAAATAAAACCCACATATAAATAAAAGTCTAGGGTCACTGACACGTTCACGATACTCCGTATCATATTTTTCGTAATTTCTAGGCCTACTGATGTGGTTCGGATAACTTGAAAGTCACCTCTATAAAATTTTATAAGCATCTTTGAAATACATATCTGAGGTTGAAAGGAAGTAAGAGAATTCTCGTGGGCCCAGAAACAAAGCTGAGACTGTAGTTGTCTAGAAGTGGAGGGGTAGAACTTTAACAGAGGCATAGAAGTCAAAGGCCTGGGGCTTTGTGAGATGGGTACTGAACGTAAGATATCTTCTCCTCTCCTCAACATAAACCAGCGAAAGGCGGCACCAGGGAAAAAACAAAAACCAAAACGATAGCTACTGGCATTGGGAGATGTTAGGGAAGCTCGTCTGCCTTAGGTTAGACTCTAGGTCCAACAAAAAAATAGTTTCTATAAAAATTTGAAACCCTAGTTTCTTCTTCACATGGGTTTGAAGTTCAAATTTTACAACTGCCTTAGTCAGAAAACTTCCAAGCAAAGAAGCTGGGAAATGAGCAAAGATACCGAAGGAGAGAAAGGAGTGGGAAGGAAGGGAAGGGGCGTGCAGGTGGCAAGGGGGTCAGGGGGAGACAAGGAAGCAAGAGAAAATGGCTAGACCCTGTAGTTTTCCTTTAAAAACAAAAACCAGTAATGCCAAATATTCAAGAATAAATAAAAGCTGAATTCGGTCTTCTAACTTTTGTTTCGGGAACTTTATATTATGATCATAAGTTATGTGATATCATGACCTCGTTGGGCTCATTGTGGGAATTTAAGGATAATTCATCACTAGAAAACATATCAATGTGTAGTCAAGAAAATGAGAAAAATAAAAACCAAATTTAGAATAACATAATTTAAGTTCATTTAGGGAAAGCCATATGGGGTGAGGGTTTCAGAAGGGTGTGTAATGTTTCATTTCTTAAGTAGTGGATACATGGTGTCCACATAAGCTAAGTAATGGATACAAGGTATTTTTTATACCATTTTGTACACCTGAAATAGTTCATACTAAAAAAGTAATCTTACAAATTAAGATGATTTATCACATTCATAGTTTATAAGAGAAAATTTATATACTCTCATCATTAGTTGCAGGAAAAGTATTTAAGAACATTAAACCTCCATACTTTGAAAAAATTCATCATCTCTAAATCTGAACATCTTTAAATCTTTTAAGGATATTGACCACAAATGATAGTTAACATCATTTTAAAGGTGAAATGTTAGAAGGGATGAAAACAAGAATGTCTTAGGAATTATACTTGGAAATTGCAGTTAGGACAATGAGATAATAACAAGAAATAAAATGTATGAGAAATAGAAAAGAATAAAAACATCATTACTTACAGACAATTTTATTGCTTATATGGCGCATCCAAGAGTATTTAATGATCAACAGAACCGAAAAAATTTCAGAAAATCATTTGTTACATAATCTACACATAAAAATGAATTGCTTTCCTACACACCAGAAGCCAATAATGAGAAAATATAATTTTATGGAAATTCCATTTACAATATCAACATAACCCTTAAATACCTGGTATAAAATATAATTGAGGATATATAAGATACTTACTGAGACAAACATAAATCTTTAGAAAAAGGAATCTGTGGCAAGAGATACCATGTTTATGGATAGAATGATTTAATACCATTAATTTGATAAGCCTTACCAAAGTAGCTTTTTCATTAAATACAATCTCAGTTAAAATTTGAGAAGGGTTTTTGGTAGAATTTGAGAAGCTGGGTCTAAAATTTGTATGGAAAAGCAAATGTCCAAGAATAGTCAAGTCTATTTTGGAAAAAGAATAAAATGGCAGGTGTTTGTCTTATGCAGATGCCTACATTTCTCAAACTATAGTAACTAAAATAGTGTGGTATTGCCACACTTACAGTCAAATAGGCAAATGTTTTTCAATAGCCCAATAACAGACACATTTATATGAGTAAACATGTTATATAATATAATAGCAAATCGTGCATGGGTAGCCATATAAAAAATAAATTTAAATTTAATTACTATTTCACACAAAATAAAACCCACCTAAATGTGAAAATCAAAGCTTTAAAAAGGTCATGTAGGAGTATATTGCTAATGGCTTCTTTAAGAAAACATAGAATTACAACACTTACTGAAAGAAGTTGCTATTTAGATTCTATGAAAATTCAGAACTTTGTTTTAACAAAAAGAACACCACAGAGTGAAAAACATGACATATATTGGGGATAAAACAGATGCATTACATAAAAATGAACAAAAAAGACACATCTAGAATACATAAAGAAGCCTACAAATCAATAAGGAAAAGAAAGTCATTTGAAACATGAGCAAGAATGAATAAATAGTTCTCAGGTGAAAGAACCCAAATTGCACATGTATATCTATGTGTATATATGTATATGTGCAAAGATGACCAGCCACACTAATAATCACAAAAATATAAATTAGAATTAAAATGATATATCATTACATACCTACCAGATTGGCAAAGTTAAGGTATCTGTCAATATTACATAGTGACAAAAATGTGGGGAAACAAAAATTTCCATATAAAGCTGACCGGAATGTGCATTTGCACAACTGCTCTGAAGAGCTGTTTGATAATATGTAGCAAAGTCGAGATGCATGGAAATCCTGGTTCCAAGTGCACCTGTAGAGAAACTCACAGGTGTGTCCAAAGAGATTCATGACGTTCACAGCAACACTGCAATAACAAAAGCAAAAAACCTAAATATGCACCAACAAAAAACATAAGCAAACATATGCATACATTCCTTTACTGAAATACTATATACCCATGAAAATTAATGAAGTAGAGCCACATGAAGCACTGTAAGTTTAAAAACATAATGTGAAGGGGGAAAAACATGTTGCAATTACATGCTGTAATGTAACATTTACATAAAATTTAAGGAATGCAAAAGTGATCCCATACGTTATTTATGGTACACTCATACATATGGAGCAAATATATGAAAACATGTGCAGAAATGATACCCGTTAAATGCAGTGCAGCGATCCCGCCAGGAAGGCAGGGAGGGGTATAGGAAAAGGGGGATCCTGTTACATCAGTAATGTTTTATTTGTTATTTGAATGTCTATGTAAGCAATACAATTGTCTGCAAATAAAGATAGATGTGGTTTTCTAGAACAAGAGCAGTTTTCTAGAACAATTTTGACAAAATATTAAGATTTAACAAAGCTGGCTGGTAGGTATATTAGCTTTTTATATCATCATACATTTTTGTGTCTTTAAAATTATTCCAAGAGATTTATGTTCTCTGCTGCCAAATTCACCTTAATGTGAAGCTGACATTTCCTCTGCCTCCTCCCCATTTGTAGATGATTATCCGGCTACAAAAGGAAATCCAGGAGCTGAAGGATGAACTGGCCATTGTGACTGGGGAACAGAGGACAGAGGCACTCACAGAAGCAGAGCTCCTTCAGTAAGCCTGCAGACTTTTTCTTTCTTTTTAACAGCGAAAGTTTATGTTAACTTCTTTGTTGGCCTTAACGTTATGAATTCACCTCAAAGCATAAAGTTCCCCTGGGACAGTCTGAAATTGCATTTAGGCGCCAGTTAAGAGTGGCGGCTTTCCATGAAAAGCTGGATAAGGCTGGCAGTGTTTTTGCCGCCTCAGCTTGGAGGAGGAAGTAAAGAACAGAACATAAAGAGGATGGGAATATCCTTCTCATGCCAGCTGAATAAAAGGGATTGTATAATAGTCATGCAATTTTAAAACACACACACACCAAGCACTGTTAAGCGGTGGAGCTCAGATCTGAAAGGAATTCAAGAAACATCCTTTGTATTAAACAGCATCTTACTGCAAGCACCAATTTATCCCATGCCAAAGTAAGCTTTCTCCTTTAATAAATAGATGGCCCATGTATTACAGCTCAAACACTGGAACTGGGCATGAAAGCAGGTATTCAGGGCTTTGTGCAAGTGCAGCGTCTTTCAGAGCCCTTAGCTTTGTAGCCATATGGCATATTGGTGCCACAATGTGGCTCTCCTCTCTCTGATCACAAGCCACTGTGATGGGCTTTCTTGTCATTTCTGTGCTATTTAGTAAGCATTCGTGGAGTGGTAATAATGCACTAGGCTAGAGGGCAGTGGCATTCTCTATTTCTAAGTAAGAAAAAAGCTACATAAAGATATCCTACCATTTCACCTAAGCTTCTCTCCACAGAGAAAAATGGTAAACGAGAGATGGTAAAAGTAGTACAAGTTTCCTAAAACTATTTCACAGTGGTTCTGGAGTGGGTCTAAAGCTTGGGAAGCCTCACACAAGGTTTCTGTTATGGTCTGAGTTTTCACTCCTACCAGATAGTGTTTCCTAATTCTAGAAACCTGTTTAATAGCATGATAGGCCTCTAAGGCAGTGGCTTTCAACCTTCCGAATGCCATGCCCTTTAATACATTTCCTCTGGGTTGTGACCCATAGGTTGAGAACTGCTGCTCTAAGGCTTTCCTTGCAAAACTACTTTGTGGCATATTTGCAGTTAAGGAGGATATATGTCTGAAAATTCACATTTAAAACAATTTCCTGTCACTTCTTTAAATAAGTTGGGTTATCTTAGATATTGAGATCTTACAAAGCTGAGATTTTCTTCACTGTGTTTTTCCTTTCCCTTCCAAGAAAGAAATTTCCAATTATTATCTTAGAAAACTTCTTCAGAATTTTGATCCACAAGTCAGGATCTAGCCAAGAAAACAAAACCACTCTAGGCCTTTCAACAGAAAGAATTTAATATAAGAAATTGCACAGAAGATAGCATTGCTAAGAAGGTAAACAGGAAATGATGAAGTAGTCCAGAGTTGAGTAACAGCAGGAACTCCAACCCATAGGACTGCAGGGACCCCAGGAGAAGGTAATGTTACCAAAATCTGTGATCTGCAGTGACCAGCAAGAGCTGGACCTTAAGGAACGCTGCCGAACAGGAGGTGAGGCCACCGAGGAGCCACTGGCAGGTGCTGTTTAAGACATCATCCCGGGGGCATCCTTGGCTCCCGTCAGTGCCTCCCATTGGCTGACAGAAGCCGGTAGTTAAAGAAGCCTGGGAATGCAGTGTGCTAAGCGCCAGTGATTTTTTTTTAATTCCTACGTAGCCTGAATGTTGCTCAGGAGGCTCAGTTTAAGATAAATTCTAAATGTGGTGGTTTCAGATGTTGGGCTGAGTAAGTGTATGCTGCAGGTTCCCTCTGCTGCTCCAAATCTAGAGAATCATAGAACTGATGAGGAAACTGATAGAGAAACATACAAATCTCTTGCCATAACTAGTAACAAGAGCAGACTTATCAATGGCCTGGACACTGAAGGATTTCCTGAGAGACTGAACGGTGAAGGTTGAGATAGGTGGGAGGAAAGGATAGACCGAGACGCTGGTACAGCACGATGGTGGCCCCGTGTCTCCTGGCCCCTACAATGGGAGAGGGCTGGAACAGCCGAGAATTACATAGAGCAGTCCTAGTGGGTGTATGCAGTTGGCCCTGTGGAGCCCTGGGCATTCCTCTTTTTCTGGTGCTGAGGAGGGAGAAACAGGGAATGGCCCCAGGTAGCTGACAGGAACTAGATAAGCTCTGAAACTGCAGTCTGCACTCTGCCCATCCTGACCTTACAGAAGACAGCCAGGAACACAAGTGCCTGCAGGCCCTCGTCCAAGTCTGGCTGCCCCAGCTAAGATACCCGAGAGCTTAGGAAAGATGAGCTCACAGTCAGGAATGGTAGGAATAGAAATATAAGGTCTGCCAAAAGTCTGAGAAAGACAGAAACAGGAAGAACTGACAACTTGCAGGGCCCTAGAACCAAACATTACAAAAAGAGTGGTTAATTTCTTTTCTTTCTTTCTTTTTTTTTTTTTTTTGTTGCAGTTTTTGGCCGGGGCTGGGTTTGAACCCGCCACCTCCAGCATATGGGCCGGCATCCTATTCCTTAGAGCCACAGGCACCACCTTTCTCTTTAGAGAAATAAAATGTATGTAGCATTACATCCATGAAACAAGAATGGGTCGTTTTCTTTTTTTTAAACAAAATCAAGAGGAAATCTTGGATATGGAACATTTAATTATCATTAAGAATTTAATATATGGCTCAATAGCAGAATAGTGAGTAAGGAAGATCAGGGTTATGGAACTCTTCCCTAATGTAAAAGAATAAAGAGATAGAAAGTTTAAGAGAAAAGGGTTATGGGAAATAGCTCAAGATTTACCAATATCTAATGAATAGGAGTTGGTGGGGGAAAAAATAGAGATAATTCAATGGAGATAATTGTTGAAAAAATAATATCTAAAACTTTTCTATCAGTATTAAAAGGATGCGTGACTTCAGAATGAAAAGATTACCAAGTGCTAAGCCATATGTCACATTGTAAAAAATTTTTAGAACTTTAAAACATAGAAAAGAATCCTAAATTTTACCAGAGAGGGAAGAAAATTGCTAAAAGTCAAAGAACAGACTTCTCATCAGCCACTTTGGAAATAAGAACATCTGATACTAAAATATAAAATAAAACAAAAAGTACTTTAAATGTATTTTTTTCTGTACCTAGCCAAATTCATCTTCAAATGTGAAGATGAAATAAAGGCATTTTGCAGACATACAAATTTTGAGATGAAAAGTTACCACTCTAGATCTTTTCATCAAAGAACTACACTACAGGTTGTACTTTAGCAAAAAGAAAGATGCAAAAAGTATGAGAAGTACCAAGAATGAGTGTATTTTAGATCTTCTTTATAATACTTCATATTGATAGCATTTACATTATACATTTTATACGAACTTGCCATTTATTCCATAAGTAAATTTTTCTGTTTAAAAGTTATTGAAATAACAATCAAATTTTCCATTCATGGGAATTTAGGGGGTATAATGAAGGGAAATAAAATTGTGACAATAGATCAAAATACTGAAGAACTTTTACATCATGGGTTGGTTTCTTTGGGCCAATAGATAGCAAATATATTAAAACCAATGTTAATCTGAATGAATACTATATGGACAGTATATTGGGTTGTCACCAGCTCTTTTGTGTAGTTCATTCATTCAATATCTATTATTTATTTAGGATTCACACTCTAAGTTAGGCCCTGAGAGAAACACAAATACGAGCAAAACCTAAATACTGCTCTCAAGAAGCTCACCATGTAGTGGTGATGACAGACAGATGATGCTGAAATATATAATGAAATATGTAAGCATTGTGAGAAGATAGAAACGAAACATAAGGAGAATGCAGAGACAGTAATGATTACTTTTGAGCTCAGGAATCATGTAAAACAGTTCGTGTGCTACTAAATAAACTCCAGTAGCTCCCACAAGAGAAGTGTGCCATGTGTATAACATTGTGTCTTATGGGTGATAACTGATCAACAGAGAGAACAAATGTCACAAGCCACCTCCACTCTGCCAAAGCAGAGCACAGGGTTTCTCAACAGTGCAGTAAATTGGGTACTTGTTCACACTGACAGTGTGGAACGTTCCGTTAATGTGTTTTGTTCTTATTGTTTCTGTTATATTGTTGTTTTCCATTATTAGACTGAATATCAGTCAGTACAACCTAAATTTCAACAGATTTAAGTCTTCATTTTACTGTAACAGAAGTAAATTAAATTTTGCCCCTAATATGGCATTAATTCTTTGTCTTCTTGGGCCCCTAGACAATTACTGAGGAAAGTAAATCCACTTCTTTCCTTCCACCGTACACACACTGCAGGTGGTGGGGAATAGTGATGTTGCAGAGAGGAGGAGTCCCACAGCTTGGCAGGACAGAGTGGCAGAATTGCTCTTGCTCTTGGTCATTTCTCTGTCCTGGACTTATGTTGACTGGAAGGGCATAAAGACATTCCTATCAGACATTCTCTGAAGAATGTCAGAAAGCAGATATTTAGTTGATATGATATTCTATGCACAATGCACCGGGCAATTTAGAGAGGTCTGTTAATATCTAGCCCTATTAAATTTTTTGAGCCATTTCCCAGCATTTCAGTACTTAATGTAAATATTTGTTGCACAGACTTGGATGCTTTAATTGAAGAGGATTTTAGATGTCAGCCTTCAGTTATTGTGATATTTTTAGTTTACAACTTTTTTTTTGCCTGGGTAAGTTTGAAAAGAGACAGCTGGATAAAGTCTTATAGCCAAGTTAATGTTTATACAGAACTTCTTGGGTGAAGATTTGATTGTGAATGATTCTCTAAACACATACATCATTGTTTCCCTGGTAAAACAGTAAGCCTGTAGCACAGTGTTTTTCCAACCTTTTTTTTAATCTCACAGCACACTTGAACTTATAGTAAACTTCCATAGCAACTTAAAGTATGTTAATCAAAAGAGAGAGAGAGAGAGTGAAAAAAAAGAATATACTGTGTTTTGAAATTCTTTTGGAAATAATTTAATGATCTTTAAAAATTCTCATGACACACCTAACATCCTGTCATGGCACAC